TAAAATTGCTTTTTAAAAATAAAATTCTTAGTGTAATTATAATATAATTTATGTAAGAATTCCATCTTGAGCACATATATATGTTTTAACATTTTCAGGGACCACGAGGAAAACCCGGCCCAGCAGGCCTTGAAGGTATAAAAGGGGATCATGGGGAAGAGGGACAAAAAGGAGCTAAAGGACATCGGGGATTTACTGGTTTACAAGGATTACCCGGGTCTCCTGGTTTAGTAGGAGAAAAAGGTATACCAGGTTTACCAGGACTTCCCGGTAAAGACGGAGAACCAGGTATTAGAGGTAATCCTGGTCGAGAAGGCAATCCAGGTCCTATCGGACCTGTGGGAAATCCTGGATCAAGAGGCCCACCTGGGGAAGAAGGTCGCCAAGGATCACCGGGTCTTCCAGGACCACCTGGACCACCTGGTCCTCCTGGAGAAGTGGGTTTCGGTTACGATGCGGCGTCTTTAGCAGCATTTATAGGTATGACTATAATTAGTCCAAATTCTACTATATTTCTAAAAAAGTTAATTCCACGGACATATAAAAAACTTCTAAATATCTAGAACATCATCTAAATAAATCTAAATGTATGTTTAGATTTATTTAGATTTTTCTATATTATTTAAGTTTTTAATATATTAAAAGTAATTAAATACAAAAATTTACTTTTATTTAAATTATAAATTATTATAATTAAATAGTGTTAAAAAATTATTGTATAGGACAAGGCCAAACCAAAGGACCAGATCCACTTGGAGATGAACCACCAAGAATATTTAGTAAAGATATTACTGAAAAGGAACGAAGAGAATTACTTTTAAAAGCGTACGAAAATTTAAAATCGTCGTTCCAAAAATTGATGAAACCGGATGGTGAAAAGAATTCACCTGCTAAAACTTGTCGAGATCTATTTGTTGCTTATCCGGACAAATTATCTGGTAAATCTTAAAAATTATAATTACGATCATAACTAATCTTTATGTTTATTTTGATTTTTAAAGTTTGTTTTTTTCAATAATATAAAAATAAAATACATAAAATTATATAAAATAATATATATATAAAATTAATTAAATTTCTTTTTAAGAAAAATCTAAGTTAAAAAAAGTTTTAATTGAAAAGCGAATATTAAGAGTGACAAATATATAGTATTAATATGCATTCTATATTTGAGTATTTAAATAAATTTGTGCATTAACAGGCGAGTATTGGATTGATCCAAACGAAGGAGATATTCGAGACGCGATCTTAGTGTATTGCGATGCTGAGAAACGTGCAACTTGCATTTTACCAAATCCATCGCGTTCACCAGAGATCACTCACATCACTGATCAACAGGAAACCTGGTTGAGTGAGATAGATAACGGCATGAAGGTTGTATTATATTCTTTATATTACCTTTAATTCCGCTTGTGTTAATTGTTGCAACAAAAAGTATACAACGCATTACTAGATAAATAATGATTATAAAATAAATTTAATTATTTCATTCAGATTACATACAAGGCAGATAGTAATCAAATCGGTTTCTTGCAATTGCTCTCGAAACATGCGAATCAGAACATCACGTATCATTGTAAAAATAGCGTGGCTTACTTTGATTACGAAAAGAAAACGTACAAAAGAGGCTTAAAGCTTTTAGCTTGGAACGATGTTGAATTGACACCACGAGGTAATCAGCGTCTTAGATATGAAATGATAATGGATGAATGCAGGGTAAGTCAATTTTCGAGCGCAATAGTTTTAACATTACCAGTCTATTTGTCATAGACGGAGACTTTTTTATGGAAAGTATAGAGCTTTCCACACCCAGAGCCCAGAGCTCCTGTGGGTGTTGAATTCCACACTCGAAAGTCGGGCTATTTAAAAAAAATATATGTTAATTTTTGACAATTAAAAAAAATTTTGAGTGATTTGATGAAAAACAGTATTTGCGACTATATATGTAGAAATATATTTTACATACAATAAAAGATAAAATATTTATGCTATTTAAATCACCCCCCTCCCCTCGTTTGAATGATTTCACACCCAGAAAAGCAAAAAAGGTCTCCGTCCTTGCTATTTGGATTTAGACACTCCATTTTTATTTGTAAAACCGACGTTTATAAATGGACATTTCAAAATTTGATACTTTATTTTAATTTTCCATTTTTATAAATAATTATATTTAATATATTAATTATTAATGTATTAAATTTGACTTAAGTCATAAAATACAGATGTTCGAATTTAAGAACACTAAATATATATAAATGTAGAAAATAAACAAAACACACACACACACACAAAAGACAATATTATATTTTTAAAATAGTTTTATATTTATTTTGTACTCCTTAATTTATTTGTATATTTATTAATTCGTAGGTCTATCGAAACAACTGGGGTAAAACTGTTGTCTCGTACGAAACGAATAAACCCGTAAGACTTCCTATATTAGACGTCGCTCTGCGAGATATCGGAAAACCCGAACAGAGTTTTTCTATTGAGATCGGTCCAACTTGTTATGATTAAAACAAAGTATGATTTGTAACATTACTTTATCTTATGTTGTAATTTTCCATTTCTTAAAAATTTGCCTTCCAATTTTGGGGACATAACTATATAAACATGTATATTAATTCTGTCTAAAGTGACAATTACTAAAAAATTGCTAAAAACAATTAGTCAAAAAACGTTAGGTATTTAGTTATTAATGTTAGATATTTAGTTTGTAATGACTTTATGTATGTTGCTATTTTTTATGCAAATTCTCAAGCAGTGGAAATAATTTAAAAATATATTGGATTGAGTAAAAACTAATTTTGTATTTTTATGTCAAATATTATACATATATAATATTTTTAACAAAAATAAACCAAATTTAAACTAAAAAAAGAAAAGGATTTTAAAGTTTGAAATCTCTTTCGAAAGATCACTATATTTTCTAAGTTTATGTGAGTTGAGTAATTTTTACATGTGTATAAAAAATTACGAGCTGAAAAAATGGGAAATGTTCTTCTTACATTGTGGGTCTGTCACGTGCCCAAAAAAAATTTGAAAAAATGTTCGATTGTCTAACGAGAAAGTTTAAAGTTTTTTCTAAAAAATTATTAAAAGATTCTACGATTTTGTTATACTAGTTATTTGCGGATTATATAAAGAGTATTCTGACTTTGATCATTCCTAACTCCGTTAAAAATCATCATGCCACAATTAAAAAAACAGATTCTTAAAGAGCTAAAACTTAATCTATCAAATCATATACTTAATTAAAATTTATTTTGTGTTTCAAAAAAAATTATGTTTTATTTCATTCTAAAAAGCAGAATGAACTTTTTACTCAAATTAATATATGTAGATTATATATTTAATATAATTATCTTTAAATTATCTTACGTATTTTATTTCTAGGACGAACGCTAAATTAAAAAAAGATATGGAATTTGAAGAGATATATCGCTCGGATACTTTAATATCAATTTGAAAAATTCTCGGAGTACTTAAATATTTTTCAATCACATATTAAATACCTGAGTATTTAAATGTAAAAATACCGCGAAATAACCATAGATTTACTGAATGCGCACCATGCTAAAGTATTGTGTACATAATGATAGATAAGTTTCATATATAAATATTATAATACTATGTATTATTCCGTTCAACTATTTAGGAAAAATAAAATTGTGCATTATCAAAGTTATATTCATTCAATATTCTATTCTTATCTACTATATTATCTTATTGCTTTATATGGAAACATTTTCCAGGATGCAATTTCTTCTGCCAATTTATAAAGTTTTACATTTATTTTTTCATTTAACTTTTAAAAGGTAGGAGTCCATTTTTTAAATTTTATAGACAACACAAAGTTTAAAATTGTGACATAAGACGTCTTTAAGTCGTCGTTTACAAAAAAACATCTTATGACCTAATTTTACACTTTTTATTGCCTGGATTTTCTTTGAATAAGATTTATTATAATTCATTATTAATTTTATGTATTTCTTGCCTCAAAATATAACATTATTTCAACGCTACATATTATGATCTATGATTTTCCTGTCATATAAAGATTAACATATAATAACAATATATATGTGTTATATAATGGAATATGGTTCTTTTAACTAAAAAGAACAAAGTTCTTCATAATTATCATTTCTTTTCTATTTTTTTTTTTTCAAAATATGAACGTATGCTTATTTCATTCTCACAATCAGTACAAGAAATATACGAAAGAATATATTAAAAGAAACTTATTTTAACTAAAAACACATTAAGCAATATATTTTATGTGTAAACTACATTATCTACTGAATACGTTCCATTTGATCACGGATCTGACCATTCCATTTCAACGCATCTATATAATAGCTGCTACTGTTGACGCATGCGTGAATGGAACATTCCTCACATCAAATACACCGACCAATGCTGTATCAAAACACTTTGGCACCCGGTATGAGAAATCTGTACGATATGTATAAAATATGTACAATTTTACAAAATCCATATTTACAGTTACTTTTTTGAATTGACGCTTCAATTTATTCAGTACAGCGTTGTGGCAAAAATCTTTCCAAAATATTATTTATTTATATCTTAACTACTATATACTGTCTAATACACATACGCATGTATATATATTTTTAGCATTATTAAAATGCATCAATAAATATTACCATATAAAGAAGGCATCGAAATCCGGACATCTTTTTGCTTATATTAAATATTCTATACAAAATGATTAGATATTATCTATAAACTATGTATGATACACAATTTATAATTATAATTCATAATCACGTTACAACTCCTTTTATGATATAATAAAATATTGTTATGACCACATATATTAAGACGAACAAATTCAATATTTGATGTCATTCTCTACTGTGCGCTATATTCATGCTGTCACAATACTTGATGGCGAAAGGGAGTAAGTGGCAACTGTGGATGTGCGAATAGTAGTAGGGCACCAATAACTCCCAACAGTCTCAACTCCAGTCACTTCAGTCTTCAGTAGTGCTCGGTGGTTCAGTCCGTGCTCCGAGCTCCATTGTATTGTTATCCGTCGTGTCTATGGTGAAGAACGCGATTGAGATCGTTCAGTAACGAAAGAAACGCGCGTTCGCGAGAAATCTCAGCGTCAACGTCACCGACGACATATTCGCTCGTGGTCAATCAGATTCCCAGGTACGCATCTCATACCGAAATACACGTGGCAATGTTTTCTGCTTCGACCGCGCGTCTGCCGGACAGCCGTGCCTTTATCGATCCTTTAAAGCCGCTTTCGCGCGCAATTTTCCCACGGGCGACAAGTATGGGATAAAAGAGAAAATCGGTTATAAATCGTGGGTTAATAAGATGAAAGTCGATCCTATTCGAGTTCGTCTGCGAGTCGCCGCTGACTCGTAAATGAAAGCCTTTTACTGCTTATTGCGACGTCAATAGTTGTATTCATTGTATTCAATAATCATTGCCCTTAGCGACGAAAGAATGATTTGGGCATTTCAAAGCGGTGCTGTTTAGATCTGTCGTTTCAAAGAAATTTTAATTGCTACTAATCAAAAGCATTTAGCTTTTTTTTTTTTTATTAAAAATATTTAGAACTTAATATAATATAATATTGTGCATAGAAATTTATATAACATAATTGTAATAAATATTTAATATAATTTAATTATAATTTATAATAAAATAAATACAAGAAATAATATATATATCGAATAAGAAAGATTCATTGAATAACTGCAGCAATAAAATCGCGACGATTAATGACGTCTGTGAAAGAAATAATAAGTTTGTAGTTGAAAAAAGACATAATCTTCTTCAATGTGACTTTAATAATAAATCAAACTGTGACGACGTGATATTTACCGCAACATTGACATGTCCGGGTTTGCAGTGTAAACCGACTAAATTCAGAAAACGCATGTCAGACGTAGAAGAGGTGTGACTTATCAATCTGTTGTCAGACTATTCATAAATACTATTGTATAATGAAAATGCGCCTCGAGTAGTAAATTTATCTTACATGTTGTTATACCTGTTGCCGTTCATTTGTGTGACGTAATGAAAGACATGCCTCTGTACGATATCAGATATAATTTTAACCAGAATTGCAAATGTGACGTTTTCGATACTAATGAGATTTCTTTCAAAAAAAGTACAAGACTAAAGAATACAGGATATTATTTCGGGGGAAATCAATAACGGGAATAACGGGAAAATTGTTAATGTAATAAAATTATAATCAAATTTTGCGTTATATATACATATATATATATAAATTATAAATATAAAATTTTTACGAATACTGAATAAATTATTTTAAAAGAAAACAATAAATTTGTTCCTTTTTAAGAACATGTATCACGAAAAATATCAAAATTTATATTTATTTATAAATTAAAATTGCAAACTTATCATTGAATTTGGACGTGAATTTTGTCATTCGATTTTTATATTTTTTTTCTATAATTTTTCAAATAATTGTTATCACATAATTAAAACGTACAATTGATGATGTAACATCTCTTGCAATTGTACGCTTATTGTGTAAATTAGATAAAATCGTGTATAATTGCTTTTTATAGAAGCGGAAGCTTGAACAATTCTTGAAATATCTAACACAACTCTTTGACGAAAATTCAAAAATTGTTGCAAATGGCGTGGTTGTAGAATTATTTCATAATTCGATCAATAGCTTTTCTTACCTGATTGAAATAATACATTTTTGCAAAAATATCTGACACAGTTATGTAGACAGTTGTGTGACGAGTGTCATAACGTGCCATGGAATCAGCGAGTTGTGATTAACTTTATCAACCGTCTGTAGATACGTAATTGAAGTGATTCACATATTTGCTAGTTAAATAATGTTTGTAAATGCAAAATCTGTATCCGAAAGTGTCCTGTTAAGACAATTTGAAGTAAAGTGCTTTCTCTCATTGATAATAGAAATACCAGACACAGAGAGTGGTTAGTGGAAGATGTTCGGTAATAGAAAAATTTGCAAATATTATCTAGTCTTCAAGGAACTTGAAAGAATAAATTTAAATTTATTTTTTTTGAATTTAAAATTAACGTTTTTTCTTTTTCAAATTTATTAGAATTCCAATTTAAGTAATTTATACTTTTTTAAATGCTAATTTTACTTGAGAAGTGATCCACACAAAGAATTAATGATAGAAGAAAAAAGAACATTGAAATTAATAAGCGATAATGAACGATTACAACAAAATAGCTTTTCTTTACTTATAACGTACGAATTAAAATATACGAATTAAAATTTGCAGATTATTGTTTTGTAAATATAGTATATTAGTAGTTTATACATATATATAGGTATTAATAATTACCTACTTTAATGACTAGCTGCTCCATATGTGGCATTTCTTCTAATTGTTTACACGATTGTAATTAAAGACGAGGATTCGTATTCCCGTATGGCATTACACAGCGCTCAGTAGATAATTCGCTTGGTTTTATGTTTTTCTTATCTGATATATGATTGTTAAACGAAAGATTAAAAATGATATAAAGGGATTTAGTGTTAAAAGTGTAGTGTCAATGAAAAGAAAACCCTACATAAATATTTTGAGGGTATTGTATTCGTGACGGATCTATCGGAGGTCTATCGAAGAATGACAAATTTGGCAAACTTATCGCATTCTTTCGTATCACTTATGTCAATATTGCTTAATGCGATACGTAATTACATGATTTGTGTGATTAAATTTCAGTTTTTTAAATATTTTCGTAGTGCCTTACGATTTATTTTGCGTACGAACTATAATATTATTTCTTTTTATAAATCAATAAGTAAGTTTAGTAAAATTTAACAATCCTGTCCTTACTGAGTATTAAATTTATGTTTGAGATAATTTTCAGTGTTTGTCCATACATTATTTTCTTTATATTATAATAATCAACAAAGCAATAATTTCAAACATATTCGCTAATTTCAATTAATGTACCTTTTTAAAATTTCTCAACTTACTAATTAAATAAATTTATTAGCAATTCGTAGTTTCTCAAAATCTACAATCGATTCTCAAGTATTTTGTAAATGCATTACATATAGCAAGTTCGAGTAATTCTAGTGTTGTGCCAGATTAAATAAAGGATATTACAAATAAATGCTAATATGAAGACTTTAAATTCTATTAAAAATTTACGAATTTACGAAAGATTAAAACGTTGATTAATCTTAATACTGTAAAAGAATAGAAGGAAAAAAATAAAGATATAAATTGCAAAAAAGAAAATAAAAACTAAAAATAAAAATGTATGTTAATATTGTAGTGTAAAATTAGAATGCGTTCTTAGAACTAATTAGAATAGAAACATAGGTAAAAATGTATTTAAATTATTTAAATCCTTAAATTATTTAATTCTTGCTCTTTATATCTCTCACATGAAGCTAAATTTATCAATTTACAGTTTTATTAACTTTGCGACTTTGATTCTCCTATAAATCAATCAATTTGTCCTGACGCTTAATAGAAGCATTGAAGATCTTGCGTATCTGGATTCTATAGCTTTATCTCTCTTTCATGCTAAAAAATCTATTGATGAGAAAATAATTAGTGAACAATTTAAATATAATATAAGAAATAAAACGGACTATTAGAGCTAATTATTAAGCTAGATATTATTAGCCAATTATTTATTCACATTATATATAAATTATACATATGAAATTTATATGTTTCAACTTTGAATAAGATTATCTTCAATGAAAAATACAATATATATTATATTTAAAATTGTAAATTAATATCTATACACGTCGCATATTTAATCTTATTAATTTTTCATGAATAACAATTTCGATGTGTCCGAAATTATGATTAGAATTTTTTTCATTCTTCCAATAGAGAGAGAGAGAGAGAGAGAGAGAGAGAGAGAGAGAGAGAGAGAGAGAGAGAGATCTCAAGAGTTATTATTACTCTTGCTAACTATTTTATCGTACGTACAGTGCGATTGATAACATTTTTAATATCAAATTTATTTTTCATAAAATTTTAGAAAACAGTATCATCTAAAGCAATAGAAAAAAATTAATTTATCGAATGCAAACAAGAACGAAAAGATTAGTTTCCGTTACATAATTCTCGTAAAAAAATATATATATTAATATAATTAATATAATTTGTTATCTTTCCTTGAGAAATTGACAATTAAACTCATAAGATCGATTAAGTTCCTTGGGCTCGCGCCTGCTCCAGTTTAAAGTTCACTTCGTCACTCTTCCTCGGTCCAGCACGTGGTTATGCGACACAATATTGCACAACCGCGGACTTCGATATCGTAATTTAAATATAGAAATCGCGGTTGGTGTATGAGCGTGATGCGAGCGTAATGGTGGATGCCGCGTGTTTTTCAGGTATCCTCGTGACCGAAGTATCCCGGAGGACCGTGTCGAGTGTGTCGACGTCAAACGCGAAAGTATAGCAAAGGTGGAGAAGCGTCATCACTGACTTCAAAACCCGCGGGATGATATGACGCAACGTTGCCGACAGTGAAGCGATTGAACATCGAAAAGCGGGAAGCGAGTTGATTTCAGTTCAGTCGCGAAGTCGACTGCCGATCGATGAGAATTCGCGCTTGGCAACGTTAAAGAATCGAACGTGAGAATCTTTCTTCCTGCTCGTTAGCATCGTGTGCGCAGCATCTAGTGGTCTCACACTGATAACACGTTTGCGACGTACGTTCGCAGCAAATAGCGAAAATGGCTCTCTTCCGGAAGTTCAATGGTAAGTGACTGATGATTATTAACTGCATAATGAGCTGTGATTCGATATCTACTGTTTTACATTTTTCAATAACAAGCGATAGGCATTGCTTCTTATTTATTGTCTTACATTTTTGTTGCTTTACAATGGTGCTTATAAATTTTTATTTTTATTATTCTATATCATTCTTTAGATTTAGGCTAGATATGTACTAATTTATTATTTTCAATTAAATATAAAATTTCTTGGAAATTGAGGTCCTATTATTTCAATATTTATAACTGTACATTGATTTTGTATCATACCATATGCTATATTATAAATGTAAATGTATAATGTAATTTCTATTAATAAAGTTGTAATACTACTTTTACATATGTAGAGATTATGTCAATCTATCAAGAGATATGTATTTAGTATCTGTAATATTATTTAAATTATATCAATTTCAAATTTTCAATGTTAAATGTTACGATAGGTCAGTATTCAAATATCTTCGCCAATATATGTATATTGACTAGTATTTCTTGGACGTCAGTAAACAAATTCCGAAGTTGTTCATATATGCTTTTAGTTAAATATAGAATATGAGTAATGATTCAAATAATTAACTTGGTTATGAAAAATTACAATTACACATAGTTAAAACGGAATCACAACTCGTTTCGTGTATCAGTATTTCTTTTGATATGAGATATACGTGTTTTTATTTATATATCAATATATTTTAGCAGAAATCGTGTAAAAAAAAGAATGTATATTTCTCTCGAAAAAGGCTCTGTAAAGTATTATTCATAAATATTACATAATTATGCAGTACGCAAATTTACATTACTCTGTTAATTACAAAAACTTCCTATATGACAAGGATAATTTGAAATGATAAGCATTACATAATCGCGTGCGTGTACATTCATACAAAGATTTCAGGGAGCCAGTGCACAATATCAGGCGATACTCATGACTTTGCGACATGTCGTTCGAGCCAATGGAAATTCAAATTAGTAAACATTGCGCATCGTATTAACCCGTCGCATGTAATGCATTAGTATTTTTCCGACAATGTTTTATTCAAGCGTTTCTATCCAAGTCTTCAATTTCATACTGTAACTCAAGCTGCTATTTCGCGCCGTTCACTTTGTAAAAATAGACTTATGGAATACGCAAGTTGCTGGTCCACGGTCATCTAATGCTGGCACATTGTCTGTTTAAAAAAAAAAAGATATATATATGTAATACGAGTCAATATTTCGTACAATTTATCGAAGTTGATCGATGTGCAGGCTGTACAAAGTATAGTAGAAACACTAATCTAAATCTTTAATAATTTTTCTTTGAGGAGCAGATAACGCAATGAATTTGGAACGTCAATTTTGGGGTATTTAGGAAAAATCTATAAAAAATCATTATAAATTCGTTATTAGTGTTTGAATTCTTTGAAAATTAAATTTGTAAATGAAAATTCTTTATTTTTATTTTATTTCCAGTAAACTGTTTATAAGAAAAACCGCGCTGACCTTTAACATATGTTATCAAGGCGGTCGCTGTTCGTTTAAAAGTAATTAACAATTAATTAAAGTTTAAAAAACAATATCTTATTTTTATCATATACAATAGTAAAAACTACCTTATACTCTTTCTGCATAAGGGCATACGACTGCCCAAGGGGCGACCGATTTTTTCCTAAAGGGAAGGAGATGGAGTAAACTTCCCTTTATGTGGAAAGTCATATACCTGTCATTATATAGCAGAAATAAATCATCATTTTTTAAACTATATTTGTTAATAACTTTTGAATGACTTTTGGTGACCGCCACCTAAAACCTTTTGAAGATCACTCATGGTCATGACATGACCTTGACTATATATGTCAAAGTCAAAGTCATCGGCGCGGTGTCCGATTAATCCGAATAATTATCAGAAATACTGTTCTTCGTTTTCTTCATTTCCTAACATTACATATTTTGACAATAATTTTTAATTAAAATTATTTAAAAATATTATTTATCTGGATAAGAAAATTTAGCTTCCTATACATAGAACATTTTAAATTTTGTTTAATAGATTTGTTTTAATATAATAGTTGGGACAATAGATATTCGACACATATATTTACAGCTGTGCGAACCACATGTTAATGAGATAAATGACTTGTGTTTAATGCGTAGGAAGTTATCTGTGGAACGCGCTATATCGTAAATGTGATCTGGCTATCTGACCTATTTTGTAAATATATTTTATGAATTGTGAGCAAAAGAGGGGAGAGAGGGAGAGGGGAAGAGGAAAGAAGATAGGGGGAGGAGACGAAGGGTAGAAAGCGGGGAGAGGAAGGGAGAGGGAGAGAGGGCGGATGTACATACATATTAGTATTAATGTATTAGCATCAATTATAAATATTATTGCGATTCGCGTAATATATGATCTATCAGCACGCAATTATCGTACAAACAAGTATTATACAATTTAGAGAGCGGTGATTTAAAATATTGTTTGTTTTATTATTTTGCATACTTATATAATAATGTTGCACACTTTTTTTTATAAAAATGTAACTCGATATAATTTAAATCATAGCTTGTGATTATATTTGTATATGTCATTACATTATTGGTAAATATACAATATTATTTTTATCGATTATTAAACGCGCGACGTTCTCTAAATCTTCTCTTTGAACATACGCGTTGTTCAAATGAATATAGAGAATGTATTTTAGAGAATGTATATAGGTATAAATGTTATAGAAGTAATTAAAACGACATGAAAACAATAATATATAAAAATAAGATACTTTATAAGAATTATACATGGATTACGTAATTCGTTAAAAAATCAATTCTAAATAAAATTAAGTTTCTATTTGCAGCATAATTGTTTCAATTAAATAAAGAATTAGAAGATAATACTTATAATTTTATTTATTATTGAAATAGGATTGCAAATGGATATTTTATTGCAATAAAAGAATCTTTAGTTAAATTTGAACTAAATAATTGTCATATTTTTAAATAAATTTTAACGAAAATTTGATTTGCCTACTAAACTATTTATATATGATTAAAGATTTATGATAAATTGTATTTTTTATCAATTTTTTGATTAAAGAATTAATTTACAATTTATTAAATTTGTAACTAATGATTAGCCTGCGAATAATTCATATGCCAAAGATATATTGCTTATATCAGGATGATACGATAAATGTAAAGCCTTTAATC